AAATCTATAACCAAAAGAATCCAAGCAACACAACATTAATGCAAGTTAAACATTTCCCATTCAGTGCTATCGGTATTACAACAGTTACAAGGATTTTTCGAAATACGTTCATAGTCGTTTATATTTGTTTTATTAATAGATAGTGTAAGAATTTACAACTGTTTCAACCAAAATGTCCTAATGTCGCCAATTATTTGTACAATATACCCGACATCTTGTAAAGTACTGATTACTTTCATGTTAATAAAAGCTTTCTCCTGAAAATTGTTAGAATTTATATATCAGATCAATACCTTTACAAGAGGCGACTAACGGGATCGGGTTGGCAGGCACGGTGACTTGGTCGACACATGTCAACGTTTCCCAGTAGCGTAGATCAATGCTCATGATTTTGATCACTGAATTGTCTGGTCCAGACTCGATTATTTACAGATCGCCTCTATACAGCTGGACTATTGCTGAGTACGGCGTTAAACAATGAACCCAACCCAACACAAGCATTTGTTTTCTGTATGAAATGTGTTTTACTTAATCGCGCAAGGCAATGCTTTAATTTCCTGTTTTCTTCAAGTGTTATTTTCTACATTTAATTCTGTCCTCTTCTTGTGAATATACACGCTTGACGTTTTGAACAAAAAACAGAAATGAGATAATATTAGTTTTCACTCTGCACTTCTTCTGATGTTCTTGCTTTTTGCAGTGAATTGGAAATTTGACTTGCACAAGCTCTTAATTAGCCCTTTGCCTTTTCAACACACGTCGGGTAGTTGTTTAAGTATGTAAACACAGAATACATGAAACGCCAGAGAAAGCAATCAGGCCTATCACGTGATGTCTGTCGGAGATCTCACGTTAAACAACGCTATCACGTCTCTTCTTCTCGCGTATCACTCCGCTAACCAATTTACCTCCCTTGTAATTAACTCCAAGCGCCGAGCAGTAAAGTCCAAAATCCGTCCCCCAAACACAAACACACTGGAAACTAAATCTGTTTATGAGATATTTACAATGCAAATATATAACACGGCACTTAGACAATGTAGTCGTTTAATCAAGATACAACCTGTTGAAGACGGAACATAAACAATGAACAATGCCTAGACTTTTATCCAATACCCGTCGTTGGTTAGACCGGCGTTTTATCATTCTAATGACGAATTAAATAATTGAGAATATCGCCTTTTTATTTCCGTGTAATTTGGCGGTTACCTTCACCTCAAATCTAGAAAATTGACGAGTTCAGGAACGCATTAATTTTATTGCTACGCGAAAAGTACCATATGTTTACGGTGCGCCATGTTGCCGACCACCATGACATATAAACTGGACAATTTATCTGTAATCTACAATTTGATCGGATATCCAAAGGTCGAGGGGTATATTTCCTATCATTGTTTCCTATTATTTCACCTGGCGCATTTGCATCTGTCCGCAAAACAATAAATCCGTGAATCGCTCTCTTTGTGTTGGAACAGGACCTGAGCTTTTATTCATTTGGTTCCATGTTACATGTGAGAAAAATATGAAAGAGGTTATTGGAAGTCTGATAAAAAAAGTGTATAAGTCTTTTCCTAAACTTTTTCTTTGTTTCAATTTTTCGAATGTGGAACAGTGTTTTTCCAGAGACAATGACATTAAAATACTTGCAATGGTGTTTCTCGCGTACGATTTAGTAGTTGTCTATTGGCAGTGCTATGGGCCATATTATATAGGCTTTGAACATAGTGGTTAAGTCATGTTAACGGTAGAGGTTTACCTTGGTACGTTCAGCCTCCAAGACATAAACGACTTAACTTACAGGTTTTACACTGGGAAATATTTGCCGTGTCTAAATATGAAGTAAGAAGTTTAGTGATTGAGCAAGAACAGCATCTTCAGGACAGATGCATCTGATTTGTTTCCGTCATTCGTTTGCATCCCCGAGGAAGATTTAACATCTTTGCTAAATGTGTATGATTATGTATACATGTATGTTGCCAATGATGAAGCAAGTTGTGAGATACATGGCCTTCTTCTAAATAGCATACGAATGTTCGATTCAACATAGAAATCTGTATCAGTTAAATGATTGAAGTGTTTTAAAAATGAAAACTATCACATTCAAGATATTAGAATGTTGGACAAAGTACGACGCTATCAAAACGAATTTCATGATTAGGAGTACGTTTAGTGAAAGTGACATATAATTAATAGTCACATTTCTGGAAAATCAGGAGAAACTTTATTAAAAGTTTGCTTCAGATTTGAAAAAATGTAATAAAATGCCTGATAAAAGCTGGAGTCTTGACACATTGTTGAATTAAAAGTGTGATTATCCAACAGTCATGGAATATGTGGAGTAGAGCTAAGCATCATCAGCATCTTTTGAGTGGACTTCAGGGATAACTACATCTCTACAATATTTATTAGTAGCTATATTAGGAACTGGAATTTTTTTATATAAATATTACTCCTGCAATCACGTTTGTCAACGATATTTTCGAAACTTGCCAGTATATAGAATAACCGAAATATCAATATTTTTATAAATACCTGATCGTTTTGAGATAACAGTCAATTGGCCAATTTCGTTTGCACATAAGCTATCATTAGGAGTTCATAGCTCAATCAAATGTGACCCGGAAGTGATGGAAGAGAACAGCTGAAGGCTTACTTGATGAGTCAAAGGAACCACTGTCTCCTACCACGGCGTCCTTTGAAGTCGTAATTAGCCAATCGTCATCACTGCCCTGTCACACATTGTTGAATTAAGTTACACTTTGTTACACTTGTGGAATTGCACGACCGCCAAAGAACATTAAATGGCGTGCTAGCAGCCTAATGGAAGAACGCCCTGCTTGTTGTGTGATCCGCGTTATGTGTGGTATTTTCTCTAGACATCGCCACGCGATTCATGTTTGTAAATGTAGTCAATAGAACCGGATCTCCTCATTTCGATTTAATTAAAGGCTAGATGTCGCCTTGATTTCATGGTTGTAATTGTACTGTCTATCTTGATGAGGGCAATAGTCCTCACCCCCAACATGTAATTGTTACACCGGGTACTGGATCAGAAATCCTTGGCCAGCGGCTTCTTGGAGAAAATGTTTTCTTTTGTATAAACTGTGTCTTTTTCACGGGTTTTCCTTTTCTTTTTCTGTGAAAGGTAACAACCTTCCTTGCGCTATATTGCTTTCGTTTGCAAACATGTCCGCACTGACAAAGTTCGAAATTCGAAGAAAACTGACAACATCGTCATCTGTGCATAGGATATGAACGATACTGAAAATATTAATGCTATTAACTTTATAAACCCTTTTTATATTGAATATATTTCCTTGATGAATATTAAGAATTTTGTTATTATTATTTGATATAATTAAATGGTTTCGTTAATTTCTTTATAAGATGCAAGTTAATGCACATCATCCTGCACGAAAACAACATGTAAGATGGTTTGGAATCATCGAAGGTTCAACAACATATGTGTAAGTCAGATAAATATAAGCACTATACAACATGTCATTATCATGTGACCTGCAAGACAGCATGACGTCATTAGATACGGGTCACCAGCACGGATAGAACGTGCCGGATATGGCCGATTCTTCTAAAGTAGTTTTCTTGTCTGCGACTGTCATAATGAGCTGATTTCACGCCATTATTGGACAAACAGTGATATATTAGATGGGCATCCCAGACACACGAGAATGCGAGGGAATCTATTATACATGTGTCCTGTCCGTCTAACATCCTATAGAGGAGCATCTGTATCTATAACACCAGCACCTTACACATTCACACAAACGTGTTCGCAATAACTCTCTGCAGAACATCCTTAATTACATGTGTTAGCTATCCTGCATTGTAGTGAATTATCATAGTCATTTTTGAGAAATAAATTATTGGAATTTGATGTTTTTTACCTTCAAAATGCATGTTTGTTATTTTTCAAAATACCCACTTGTATTGTGTTTGTTTTTAGACGGTGACACTTTTCTCTCAAATTTATAAATATATTTTTCCCATTTTTAACACCTTGAAAACAGAATGTTGAAAGAAGATAATATATTTTTAAGTTCTTTTTAAAAATGGAAGCATTTAAGTGACACGTTTTTTGTTTAGGCAACACAAAACATGTGTATGTATATAATCAGAAAAGTCAATGTTTGTACAAAAAGACAGTATTATCAATACCTAGTTAAAATGATGTTATATTAGTTCAAAGATATTTGGTTTCTTAACTCTATGTATACTCAACAGACGGCTTTGATGGCTTGTAGAATATAATCAGACTAATTCTCACGGTGAGAATGGAGAATGTTGATTTTCTCTGCCCGATCGGTGTTGAAACGTTGGCATTAGTAACCGGAAACACCGTTATTAATCTGTTAAATATTTCAACATTTGAAAATTCCCGCATGTAATTCCAGTCATCAGCTGAGAGAAGCTCGATAATTGCACTTCCCATCGGCTCATTTGTCGGAGACGCGAGAGAAAGCAGGACGTGTAACAATTGGATTGGAAATCGTCTGGAATTACCAATAACAGATCAATTAATCATTGAACAAGGTCGACTCAGGATCACTGATCAATTACAGAAGTTCAGGTAAATATACAGACAAGCAAATAGATACGTTCAATAGCTCTGGGCAAGACTGGATCAAGGTGTAGCATTTAAGTGAGAGAGTTGAGCAAATATCTCCGACCCCTCGAGACATCGGTCCCGCCTGGTCGCGATATCTTTGTATTGGCCCCAGACATCAAAGTTCCGATTGGTAAAATTGATTGATGAAGTGTTTTTCGGCCAGTGTTGACGCTAATATGGGAACAGTCCACTACCGCTTCTCTCGCGAGCTCAAGCGATCGGATGACCTGACTCTTCCCCCGGGCGGGCGGGATTATACGATATGCGCGGTTTTCATTGGTCGATGTCGCGACACTTAGCCATCCCCAGGCCCCGCCCTCATAGTGTACCACGGCTATATGAAATCGCGTACGACGAAGTTCCCTATACACATTTCGACGTCTCACAGCTTCTACACGACAATCCCACTGTATTACCTCACAATGGTGGTCGGGCTTGAGATTAAGAAAGAAGCAAACATGTCAGAAATCGAACAGCCTCTCGGACCTTGCAAAAAAATTACAAATTTTAGCATCGAAGAAATTCTCAAACCTGACTTTGGAAGACGGGTGTCGACAACACCTTCTCCACCCCCGCTGTCGCCAAGATGTGTGACGACACCAGAGATCGCCTCACCCCCGAGTGTGACCAAGCCTAAAGGAAGAACCCCCGTGTCCCCCGGTAAATTCGAACTGCCGGCCTGGGTTTTCTGCACCCGATATTCAGACAGACCATCATCAGGTGAATATTCGTTTTTATTATTTCAACTATTATTATTCATATTTACATATGCAAAATGACAACGCCTGTGTAGCATTTGAATATTTCTGCAGAGTTGATGCGGTATTTTTCTTCTGTTGAAATTCTAACTTTCAAAGCAGTTTTGTTTGAAATAATTTCTGCGTTTGATTTAGATTATTATCTCAAACATCGTCTACACATGTTCATAGCTTTGATACTTTTGATATTCCAAATACGCTAATACTGCTCTAACCTAATCAGTTTACAGAGATGTTTGTTTTTCATCAGTTTGTGTAAATAAACGGATATAACATTAATCTCAAATGGTGATCTTAATTCTCTGAAATTCCAGCTAAATTTGTGGGCCTAATTTATGAATGAAATTTCATTTCAACCCAAAGCAAGCTTTAAAGCTCCATTCAGTCTGAGAAAATCATTCAAAAGTTTCAAAAGAAACCAAAACCCTATGTTATCAGAAACCAAAACCCTATGTTATCAGCTTCTTTCTTCCTAGCTAAATATTTATCAAGTTGATCAGCTTTAATGATTGCGTAGGTTCCCCACTAAACCGTGAAGTTTGTTCCGCAACACCAACTTCGACAAATATGTCTCAGGTTCACTCAGAAATGAAACGCTCATCGAGTCCGACTTGGGAGAGGTTTTCTCGCGGAGCGTTATTCCGCCTCATTTGATATGTTTATCTTGTTTTTCTTTCTAACCCAAACATTTATCGCTTCTTCAATGGGCTAACATTTGTCAAGCTTATACCGTTATGTCCATGGCGCGGACGTTTCCTCGCTAAAATTGATGATCTCAGTGGTTTTGCGCAATTCTGCGGGAGTTAAAACTGATCGTTTTTTAAAACTTCCCGTGAAGTTTGTTTGGTGGCTCGTCGCGTGTCGTGGAAAGAAAACCACACTCGGAATGTAACTCACTGGGATGGAAAGGAAGTTGCTTAAATGAGCATTATGGTTTTATTAATCAATAATACAGCAAGCGAAGCTGGTTACGAGGCGGACATGCGTATTGTTGGTCTCCATTATTCATGTATTTTCCTTTTGTTTTCAAAACACGATATTCTTTGTAGTCATTCGTGAGTGTTCACTTTAAGGTTGTCTAATTTGTCTATTTTTGCAAACTTTATGAAAGCTTTTTAGTTAGGGACTTCGTATGAATATGAAAAATATTTTTGAATTTTATAATTTTAAAATTTATTAATGTTAGTCATACCATTTTGTAGGTTAAATGAACTGACATAAGTATCAATATTAATAACGAACAGGCTACGACAGGTTTATGTTCTAGACACTGTTACAAGCATACACTCATATCAAGGTAATTAAGAAAAACGTATATGTAAAATGTAATACATCCGAAGCATATTTACTGACAACATTTGCGATTTCAGTGTTTTTTTATGGGTCGTTGTCTGTTAAAGGACATTCTTACAAGCATTAACCTGTATATAAAACGTAGGTAATCACCCCTTAACGATTTCGTTTCTTTCTTCTTAGGACCACGATGTCGTAAGCCTCGCAAGAAGACTGAAAAACAAGACGACAAGCGTCCAAGGACGGCGTTTTCTACAGCACAACTACAACGCCTCCGACAAGAGTTCGACGACAACCACTACCTATCTGAACAGCGACGACAAGCATTAGCCCGAGAACTGAATCTCAATGAATCGCAAGTAAAAATCTGGTTCCAGAATAAACGTGCCAAGCTGAAGAAGAGCACCGGTTCCAAGAACCCCCTGGCAATGCGGCTGATAGCGGAGGGGTTGTACAATCACACAACCGTTGTCGTCAAGGGCGAGGAGATGATGGACATGTCCTGAGATGGGCGATGGTCAAACAACCTTATCTGGACTCCCTGACCAGATATTGCCACCCTTGACCAACAAAGGCGACAGTTACGTTGAAAAAAAAGTGATTTGGCGAATATTCTGTCAAGAAGTCTACAGCTGAAATTTGCTCGAGAACTTTCATATTCTTACTTAACAATGGCAAACCTTTGAACCTTGTTTGTAAGTGACGAGCCAGCCAGTCATCCACTGACAAGCCGATAAGACTGTGATATGTCCCAAACCATTTCAAAGCAGGTTAAACTTTGACAGTCATCCTAATAATGATGTGTCCCGATAGACATAATAAACATCATGAAAATGTGCTGAACAGCGCCCAAAGATGATTACTCCGTCATGCTGATCACCGGCGAACGTGGAGACCAAAGCGAAAGGGAAATGGACCGTCACCTTGTCTCACACCAGACTCCTCCAGGGAATAACAGTCCGGCAAGCTGGAACCATCGGTCTTTGGCGACATCTTTGCCTGGTCAGATGTTAGCTGAAGCGAGACGGAGCGAGAAACAGCGAGAAGAGATGACGAGAACGCCAGAATGTTATGTCATAAGACTACATCAAAGAACTGTTTTAATGACTGAAATTAACACCGAACGTGTGTTATAGAGACATCTCATTGAAGTTTATTCCTTTCGAAATACCTCTTTCTTTAGGCGTCATCCAACATCGGCTTAGGCTAACTGATTCATCAAAACGTTGCCATTGAATGTGTGACAAAACATTGTGCTATAGATTGGTATTGTCATATCATGAACGAAACACGGTGCTAGATTACGCCATACAATCACGTTGTATTGGCTAGAGTATTTATACGATGATACCAGGAAGGGTCATCCAGTATTATGATCACGTTGTATATAGTGTACATATCCAGCAACATTGTTCTGGTTCTAAGCTAGTAGTTGCCAAAGTCCCAAGCATGTACAGAATCTTTATTCCTTTTGTATGGGAGGTGCTTTACAGTAGCTTCTTCAGTTTTGCCATAACAATAATACTCGGTTTAATATAAATCCTCTTCCCGTAATATCTCAGCTACTATATTTACTCTACCATCATCCTGCCATGTTCTTCATGACGTCTGTCTTGTATGTTTCCATGTCTGTCCACTGTCACTGTTGTAAGGCTGTTTGTCTTTATTCACGATGTTCAGAATCTGATATCGCCTCTTGTCTCCCCTGCAGCCACTAGTGTTCATTGCACTTCATACCATTCGACTTGCACTATAATTCCTCCATTCCAGCCTTTTCACATTCAACTGAATATCGCGTACTGGGACATGGTAATCTCACAGGAACTCTTCCTCTGTTCCTCACCTTTCTCTCATCAACTTTCGTCGTCCAGAGCAACCCTTTCATTACCCTCCTCTCTCCACCCTAACAATAGTAATCCAACCCTTCTCGCAGAACCCTTCTATCACGCATTATCTCCACCCCTCTCCTCTGTTTCCCCCAACCCTCCCACTATGTTAACGCGCCCTGGCTTCAGCTTCACCTCAAGTCCCACCCCGTCCTTCATCAAACCCTACATAAGCCTAAACCCATCTCAACATACCCTGTTTCCAGCCACCCTCGGCTTCCCCACACCCACTCACCAACCCGCCGCAAGAAACCCAGCATTAGCCCCACCCCAGCCCTAACTCCATCTCGCCCTTGCCCAACTCCAGGCCTTCCGTTCATTGACCTACCCGGCTCTGGAGATCACAGTCTCCCTGTGCTGTCATTATAAATATATCATCGTTGTCGCATTTGCACGTATCCAACACAAAGCCTGTGATAAAGATTGAATTTCAAATAAAACCTATGACTCAATATTACCTATTGTGTTTTCATTCTTCAGACGGATGATTCACGATGCTGAATTTAGCTTTGTCTTGACAAGTCTGAAAAGACGATTTAGATCACGGTCAACCATTACATGAACCCACTGCACTTTAAGCCGAAAGGACAAAATATATGTTATCTGTGTTACTGTTTGAATGACCTGACGATGGAGAAAGAATATGCTCCGAAACATCGTGCTCTCCATAATACAGAAGTAGAATGCATACATTTCTTCCCTGATGTGGTAGTGTTGACTGAATACACTTGTGGAATATATACTAACAAACACACTCGAGCAAATTCATTGTAACTTTTCATACAGTTCATGTGTGTATCCTCTATTCTTTTGTGGGGCGTTTGGGTAGCCTAGTGGTTAAAGCGTTCGCTCATCACGCCGAAGGCCCGGTTCGATTCCCCACATGGGTACAATGTATGAAGCCCATTTCTGCTGCCCCCGGCCGTGATTTTACTGGAATATTGCTAAAAGCGGCGTAAAACCCAACTCACTCTCTCACTCTATTTTGTTGTGGAATCTAATGTTTTGCCAATGTCGTGATATGACCTATGCAAGGGTCAATACTGCCCATGGTAGCGCGTCCCATTACAATATACACCACTTACTCAATATATTCCATCAGTATAACAGACATCTGCACCTTCATCAAGAAGAGGTTCGTATTCTGGGTATGTCTAGTGTTATTAATGTCTTTCGTTCTGGCCTGTTAGCAGAAATGATGAACGCGAGGACTTCGAATGGCCTTTAGAAGTGGTGAACATGATTCAAGAATTTTCAGGATATCAACTTCTTTATTCTGTTTACACGACGTTTCGGAGTACTTCTTACTCCCTCTTCGCTTTAACGTGGTGATCAAATCCTTCCCCCCAACAAGACACGACGCCACTTTCTTGTACCTATATAACTTTGATCATGTTTAATGTGATTGATCCAGAACAAAACTATTGATTGCAAAAAGGAAGGACAACTATATATGGATGAACAACTTCTTTATTACAGTGAGAGCACAGCAGCTTTCACTGTAACAAATACGTTGTTCATCCATCAATTGTTATCCTTCCTTACTGTTACAACGTCTAAATGCTTCTCAAAGAAGTTACTTGAATACAGTAATCATGAGAAGTTATAAGGGAACTATCTATAGTACGGGTTCATTTCACATCATATAGCAGCATCCTTCGTGGATCTGCCGTGCATACTGATTCGGTTCCTGTCCCAACAGTCGTCCAGTATCCACGCACTGGTAGAGGCTTGTTCTGTCGTAGTTTGGACTCTGATCAAACTGTCATTTCCTAGTGTTATGTCATGCCCCCTTTATCCGACTCTGCTGTTTCAAATACTAGTTAAATTGAATTTAAACTCATATTCTGAGTGAATGAGTGAGTGAGTTTGGTTTTAAGCCGCGTTTAGCTATATTCCAGCAATATCATGACGGGGGACAACAGAAATGGGCTTCACACATTATACCCATGTGGGGAATCGAACCCTGGTCTTCAGCGTGACGAGCGGACCCTTTAACCATTAGGCTACCTCACCGCCCCTCTGAGTGAAAGGGGGGCGGTGGGGTAGCCTAGTGGTTAAAGCGTTCGCTCGTCACGCCGAAGGACCGGGTTCGATTCCCCACATGGGTATAATGTGTGAAGCCCATTTCTGGTATCCCCCGCCGTGATATTGCTGGAATATTGCTAAAAGCGGCGTTAAACCCAACTCACTCACTCACTCACTCTGAGTGAAAGGTCAAATGATGTTTTGAATGTAGATAAAATTACCAAACATTCCAATGGCACCTGTTCTGATATCTGATGATGCAGGGTGTTTATGCATCATCTTACGTAAAATGTTCCCATATATTTGATAAACCAATTTCTTCTTAAGGCATTTGATATATATTTAAAAAACCTACTGGTATACATTCCCCATTTGGTGAGACATGCACGATGCATGTTAGAACATCACCGCTAGACACAGGACAGTAGGGCAATAACTTTATGTTGGACACTAACAGGATTACTAGCCTTAACTGACATAGAGTAGCTTGTCAGCACCTCTCCACTGACGGTAAATGAGCCTCAGATGCATTGCAACTCTTTGACACACTGACAAACCAACAATGCCATCAGTCCGCATTGAAATGACTCTATACCCCTGTCTACCATGCATGACAATAGATTTGCACATCATCAGGACTTTATTACCTGTTTATTGCCCAGCACAGAGTCTTCAGCGTCTTCGCTTCCATATATATACACACTTGGCGACGTGTTTAAAGGGTAGGGATTACCCTACAAAGTGCACTCGCTTAACAATGGAGATATACTAGGAACATGGCCTTCACCATGGGGGGTAGCAACTCGAGACCACCCGTCTAACGTCGACCATTGCTTTCTTAACGGCAGGATTAGGCTTTGTTAATTTCTTTGTCAAGTTACACTCGGCTCTTATTTTTATATTGACTCATTCGTTGAAGGTGTTACATATTGGTTTCCAATGACACGGCTGTAAAATGGCGGACAATGGCGGATTGTTTGTTTTAAAGAGTAATGTTTATATACCTAGGATAGTTACAGTTTTGGATTTCATTACCTGAAAACAATATGTCCATATTTTCTTTTTATTCTTGATTCTGCTCTGAATAATTCTTAAGTTCGAGTTTAATGTGGCTTTTGTTTAATCTCCGTTGTTTATTATCATTTAAGTCGAACAGTTAAGTCAGGACAATCACATTTGGTGTATTTTCTGGTGCCTTGGTAAGAAACCGATACCATATACTCTGCAATTTCGGACTGGATGTATTGTTTCCGTGGGAGATGCCCCGAAAGGCAGCGTGGGGATAAATTATTGTTTGAGATAAATGGGATAATAATGTATTAATGTGAGACATGCATTGCTATACCACGCAGCGGTCATCTCACTGGACAATGCATTGCTCCTACCACAACAGCACAATAGTACCTTATTGCACTGGAAACAGTGCTGTGTGGATGCAGTATTACTCCATATACCACGTATCTTAAGAATATGAATGAATATTTGTTTATCAGATATTTGCAACTGTTTTACATAAACACACGCACGTACGCATGTGCGCACACACAGGCTGTGAATTGTGTTTGGAGGTGCATCGTAAAATAATAGAAGTGTACACAAACCAACATAATTCCAATATCAACATCAATACTATAGACAGTACTTACGTGAGAGTATCGTGAATTATGTAAAAGTTACAAAAAGAGGGCACGCAGCATGTAATTTCATACAAGTTCAAGTTCAACCACTTCTGTTGTTTTGATATTCACAAAATATTTTGGAAAATTTAACGTTTACTCGTGTGTGTTTATCTATTCGAGATGATATAAGATTGGATTACTATTGGTATGTTTATTGGTCGTGAGTACTGTGTACAAATATGTGTTATGCAGGTATCCTACGCGTGACACACAAATATAATCTTCTGTCAAACGTGCGTCAAATCTAAATGCCTTTCTTTGTACACCTCCCCATGTGTACGAATATTTATACGTTTATACACTACCTGTATGCTCATCAATGGCTTGTCCGTATGTTGTGGACAGTACCTTTGGGTCAGTTATGTTGGTCCATGCATACTCGTATAGCTGCAGCATTCTTTAGATACATCTCAACACCTATACGTACGCATATACAGAGGTTTATTTATGTAAACGTATGATAACCAATTACCTAAAAGCTATTACCAATCCAAGTAAAACTAAATTCCTCATGTCATCATCTGATTGTAAATGTATCAGTTATTTAGCAGGCTTTATTTATCATGCAATGTATCTAAGATGTTAAAGTTATTAATTTATACTGTACACACCATGTTTTGCCATGTACAATGTAACCTATGTAGTTGGTGGCCTACACTTCTGTAATAAAGCACTGAGAAAAGATAATCATATAGACCAACATGTACAGAATTTCTCTTGTTAATGACCAGCCTCGAAACATAGTACTACGAGAATGAAATATAAGCCCAATCACACACTCTCATGAAACATTCCTTTCCATAATACAGAGTTACCTGTTGTTGTATTATATATTTGCAAGATAACACTTCGTTAGTGAACTGATATTATGTTGTTTCGTCACTTGTACAACACATGTAAAGGTTCATTGTTACATGTAGGCCTATATATGATCGTGGTGTAGTTTATGTCTTTGGCCACACATACCAATATATTCTCTTTGTATTATTTAGTATTAAATAACTCAATGTCAAAAAGAAATTAGATTGAATAATTTGTTATAATACACCAGTAGTTCCACTGGATGCTTGCAATATTTACATTAAACCTACATATACATCTCCTTACTTCACACCCAGATGACCATATTTACGATTTACCCCCACATTGGTATACTATTCTTTCAAATATTGCTTGTAACTTTATTTAGTAGATTAACATGTGCTTCAAATCACATATGTTGAAATGACTTGATGAATCAATAACTGTATAATTACACTTTTCTTTGTCTGAGGGTGATATTTTCATTCTACATAACCTAATTTATGTACACTCATGTGCCATATTAAAGTTCACAAAATGGCCGCCATGTAATTTTCGCTAACTGTAATGAGATGTAAATAAAGTTTGATTTCAAAATAATGCCTGAAGCAACTTACCTGATATTTTCAGTATTTAGTAATACAGCCATTTACTGCAAGTACAGATCTCATTCGCTTAGGTAGAGTAGAATACAGTGATTTTATGTACTCTGGAGTAAGTGATGTCCAGATATCTTGAACGTGATCTATCAGATCTGCTTGGTTTTTATGTCATGTAACTGTCTTTGTAGCCTGATTTTCAGAGTTCTCCATACATTTTCAATGGTATTACAGTCTGGGGACTGAGGAGGCCAATTCATTGTCTGAATGTCATTGTCACGTTTCCACTGAATTGTCTGTCTAGAAACATGGACAGGACAATTGTCCTCTTGAAATACATAGCCCCGATATGCTGGAACTTTGGCTATTTCTGGCCAAAGGTTGCTGTCCAGTATATCTATATACTTTGTAGAGTTGATATGACCATCTACACCGACAAGGGTTCCAACACCTTCAAAAAAAATACACCCCCAGAACATCACACTGAGACGTCGGGCATTTTTATCCCTGTACACACCAAGGCACCGGGGTTTCCACTTTTCTTCATTAGTCCTCCAAACATAAACTTTCTGATCATTTCATACAACAACTTGAGTTTCATCTGACAATATTACCCTAGACCAATCTCTATTTACATTCCATATCAAATGTGTTCTTGCAAAGGCTCTTTTCTTGAACCTGCTTTGAGAGGATATGGTGGTTTTCTTCTTCACAACTCTTCTATGAAAACCATTTTCATGAAGACGCCTTTGTATTGTCCTCCTGGATAGTCTTACTTAAGATGTCTGGTTCCAAAGTGAAGATATATCCTGAAGAGACTTTCTCCTATTACACTTAACAATCTTCAATAAAGCTCTAGTATCTCTGTCAGTTGATTTTCTTCTCCTGCCACTTCTCTGACAATTTTCTATATTTCCTCCTTGAAAAAAACTCTTCGGAAACCTATTAATTCCAGTTATTTTACCTATTTCACTTCCACTCTTGCCTTCTGAATTCAAACTTAATATGAGCTTTTTCTGACATGCAGTAAGATCTTTCCCTCTAGGTGCCATGACACTTTGAGCAGACGTCATACTAAGCACTTGAGAGTTATTCCCCTTCTGTTTACAAAATGTAACAGGTGTTAAGTCAAATTTGTACCCGCTAAAATTTCATACCCTATTACTATTGCTAAGATGAAATAAACTTTCATTTAAAAGAACCAGCTACTGCTGGCAAGAATCACAGCGGCCATTTTGTGAACTTTAATATGGCACATGAGTGTAGCTGTGGAAGGGAATATGAAGTTAAATACTTCTGGCGAGTTGAGTACATGGTGGGGTTCTACATTATCCATGACTTAAAATAGGATAAAGTGGTTTCACACGTTGATTCCTAGTTATACTATGATTTTATATAGGATATTTCTGATACGATGGCGGAAACGAATTGTATTGATATATCCCTATCGAATATATGCATTTCTTACGTCATATGTTGTTTTGACTTGCTTTTGCGTGTGGTTGTGACGATGGGACAGGTTTCGTACATTCTGTTGCGAACACAAGGAATTTTAACTAAAAGTGATTCACAAAAACACGCTTATGGTATAGTCGGAACGGTACATTATGCTTTCTTTTAGCAGATATTTCATATCAATTATTGAAATGCTATTTGTCCCTTTTATAAACATGCACTTGACATATTAAGACACGTATTTGATCATGTAAGACATCTGTTAATCAAAGAATTAATATATCTAACCACACATACACTGTACGCCACTGCCCAGCCCGAAAAGTACACACATATACTACTGGAAATATGTTAAGGACCACCCGGAACATTCGTATAGCAGAAGCTCATCTGTCATGGAAGGACAGATAAACTATTAGGTCTGTAACGATGCATCGAACTATCGATGGACTGCAATAATTGTTGAGTCTCCGATACCAATTAATCGATGGTAGAAACGAAACATTATCGATGCATCGATAGTATGTGTGACTATCGATAGTTTAGTAATTGACTTCCGTTTATAAATGCGCAGCGCAAAATAGAGGAAGTACCAGATTCGTTCATTTCGATATTGAGTTATCCATCCCTGTTAACTGTTTACTTGATCTGGATTTCAAGTTTCTTGTCAATTATCAAAAGAGACTGAAACTACTTAAACTTGTTTTATTTCACATAAACTATACATTTATTTGGGAAATGACTTCAAATGAGACAATTCATGGAGAAAAAAACAAATGCAATAGTATTGCAATAGTACGTTGCAATAGACTATCGCTATCGCAATAGTTGTTTCCCCTCAATAGTCACTCCTATAAAGTATAATATAAAAGTATCGTGTTTTCCTTGACATATTTTGAGTATTATACTTCAAGATGTATTTTTTTGCTGAATTGAAAATATGTCAAGGACAAGATATCGAAACTGTCTTTTTCAGAGAGCCTTATCACATGTTTTATGTTTTACATATTTTTAAGGTCGAGGACAATCTAATCAACCGCTTTACCGTACCAAATACTTGTAACTGAACCAACACTACATCCCTGTTCAATACCGCATCCCTATTTCCACAACACGTTGTGTTCAACATCAACCTTTTTTATGTGAATTACATCCGGGTTCAACACTGCATCCTCATGTCAACACCACGTCCCTGTCAACCCCGCAGTGCTACGTCCAAATCACATCAATGTGCAGCCCTCATTACATCCGTATTCACCCCACTCCTGTGTCCACCCCGCACCCAATGTTCACACCGCACCCCTCTGCCCGCCTTTGCCTAATGCCCCCTGTGTTAATGTCAGTAGATGCACCTGTCTGATAAGTATATGATTAAATCACGTAAATAAGGGTAAGATCCAACCAATACCACCACCAACCTGTTTTCATGGTGACTTTACATCGTTGTTATTTCTATATGTGTCATTTTGCACAAAGTCTGACTCTTACTATTTTGTCTTCCGCCTATCCGTACCTGTAATGCTATAACCCTACATGAATCTAATCCATATTTCCCACAAGTTCAGAATCTTACTTCAACTACATTTCCATTTAAATTGTTTGTTTCTATCAACAATAATTTTTTTTTCAAGCACCAAGCCTTAGCCTTGTTTGTGACAGTTTAGTAGTCTGTCGTACAGACACTGAAACAGATATACACAATGTAGCCCATGCAAGTCTAGAATATGTGGCAAGTCTAGATTTCCACAGTTTAGGTGAAAATGTCTGAAAATGAAGTCTCGGGGCTCTTTTTCATGATTCTTTTTTACTATGAACTTTTTTGTAAAATATGTTCATTTCGGAGACTAGTTGTTAGTCTTACAGTTTACCAAACATCACCTTTTGCTGGAACCGCGATGAACCCTAATGCCAGCGTCTGTGTAAGACATGGATATACTGGCATTATCTCCACATGCTGTGATTGACGTTATTCGGAGCGCTGAGATAGGGAAGGGTCAGTGGCCAGCATCAAACTGGTATCAGTGGTCAGTGTTGTATGATAGTACACGGAAGTGTCAAACCCTCGTATCGCCAGCACCGTGGTGTAATTACCACTGATTCCAATTACACCTGCCTGTCACTCCGCACATGTATTGGGTAATCTGTTCAAATTGGACTAGCTCATAAAGCGATATCTTATCGAATCATTGACGATAGGGGTTAGCCGCCATCATTAACGTGGACGATTAGCTGCGGAAACAGTCCGACTGCATCACAAACTATTTGCAGGATTTCCACAACGAGGTATGGACATACAGTAGCGCGATTAAGTTAATATCGTACGACATAACGCTATGCTGTACCTGATATGCACTTAACTATACACGTATACGATATAGATGTTATTGCACATGATATACTTTATGCATGTTACATAGTCCCTACTGTTGCATCTCATATTGTACATAATAGATTGTAAAATACTTATTATATGTTATTAACCCACCGATTTACTCACCTCAACTGAAAATAGTATCGTCTATTTCATATTTAGAAAGATTCAGAGTGACGAGAAAGCCTACATAACACTCATCCTTTCTTCAATCAATCACTCTTCTTGCTATTGTAATGTTGATTATGAATTTTATATATATATATATATATTCTGTTTTGTCGTATCTGATACATTACAAGGCAAACCTTAAGTCTCCAGCAGAAAAAGTATTGTTCGGAATGTCTAATGCAAGTAACATTGTACATTAAAGGAAGTTTCCTTTCAAGCCATATTTTTTATAAAACAATTTTGCAGGCCAGGTAACATTGCTTAGACGCTCAACCTCCAGCTACACCTCAACCTTACCTCGTGTCCCACCCGTGCCTCCACCCTCAACCCTACATCCATTTCACACCCTTCACAACTACCTGCCCACCGAACGTCTTCATTAAGCCTATCGTCTTCCATTACTAATACCTCCCTCCTTCCCCTTACCCCCATCTCTCGTCCCTCACTTCTACTACTCATCTAGTCTTCACTCCTACAACCAACACCGAGAACCCTTCTAACACTCTCGCTCTACCTCCACCTCCACCCATAACTTCTTCAACCCATCGTCCTCATCCCTATACCCAACCCCTACTCTCACTCCTCGTCCCTACTTCAGCCTCCGCCATACCCCATATCCCTCACCCATACCACAATTCCTCACCCGGACCTCCACCCCTGACAGTATCACTGACCCGTACCTCCACACACCCCCACCCCCCACTCTACACCTCACCAGTACTTCAACCCCCAGCATACCCCCCATCCTTCTCCAATATCACTGTATCCCTCTTCCTTCGTTCAATCCCCATTCAAGCCTCAATTCTCAACCCAACCCCCACCCCTACCTCCACCTCTCACCCCTACCTTCCTCTCCTCAACCCTACCTCCACCCATCACTCCTACCTCCACCCATCACTCCTACCTCCACCCATCAACCCTTCCCACTCCCCCCGTTCCTCCACCACTGACTCCAACCTCCACCCATCCCCAGCTCCTCCTTCAGAAGATTAAATGCACGGTTCCGTACCACGTAAAGAAAACTCAGTGTTTATGAACAAGAAGTTCATTTGGTGTCATGCAAACTGTGCCTTCCCACGCATGACCAGTTCGTCCTGATGTTGTGTTTACATGACTGTATGCCTGTACTCATATTACGGTATGTTTACGATATGGACAGCAGATCATCACTAGTGCACGTATCTTTGCTTGGAAATCTCTAAGCCTCCATCACAATAAAGGAAAAAGGGGTCTGGCAATAAATTATATCTGAGTGACATAATTGTTATTATCAGTTGGTCATACGGGTATTTTAGCCCGTAAGATGAGACTCATTAGGTGAAGTGACATTTTGATCACATCATTAGTTCGAGGAGATTCAACAGAAATGACGTGAAGATGTCGGTTAAACAATCCCCTGTCCCCCATAAACTACACAATCGAGAAGCTTGCTTATGTCTTCAGATGATCATGTCGTTTGTCAATTTGTACATTCTTACTTCCCTTAAATCTCGTGTGTCGCCAAAGTATGATCTTCTTTTTGTGTGCCAGTGGTAACTTTATTTCTCTACTCAACGAATGGGCTCCTATAATAGCATGTTTCCTCGGGTCTCGACATTTGCCGCGGAGCTGCCATTGTCTCCCATCACACGGAAGTCGAGAAGTCCAATTGGGGAGGGCCCAGTCTTTGTTGCTTGTGGAAGCAACATTTATCATCAGTCGACAAGCACTGATCAGTTGTGATTACCACGCGATAATGATTGCTCCCCCAGGCCAAACCACGGCGCTACCCCAATATTAAACGTGTAATATCGCAATGACAGTTCCCGTAAACTGTGGCACATCGGAGGGTAACACAAGTTCCCACACTTTCCATTAGCAAACTAATGTTCCGTCACAACGTTTCCCCAGCATTCTCGATCTGTCACTGAGCGGCCAGGATTAGTTTCTCACCAATTGTTGAGTTATTGCTCGTTTAATGGCCTAAAACCAATCCCTCCGATTTTTCTTTCCTGACTTTATTGAAACATTTAGATCAATTAACCTTTTTGAAACCGCTCTGTCCTAATCTTATTTTTACGGCTAATATTGTGTAATAAGTAGCACATTTGTAAACTGAAAAGAAAGTATGTACTTGAAAACCAGAGTCGAGCAAAAGACATTACAAATGGTATCAAAACATTACTTAACTAATAACAGACGCCTAATAACTGCAAACTGGTGTAAAACATGTGTTCTGCATCAAATACATCATAATCAAATTAACATTTCTTATTTGTTCCATTTTGGTCATTATCGAAAATGGTTGTATTTTCATTAGTCCGGTAGTGTATGTATACTATTGTATCCAAGTGTTCACATTTACAATGATGACATATTTAATCATGTTTTTCATATAAATTTGTGTATAAGGAGATGTACATTGTGAACGTTAAAAAAATTGTAATTTGACTATGACAAATCTCTCCTTGTCAGGTATTAATTTTAGGTCACTTTTTACACGTTTGAGTTCATAATATGCAGACGTACACCAAATCAAACGTTCTTCAAAAGTTTTCTCTTCCGTTCCCATATTTCTTGTAAAAGAATAAGTTAATTCTCTACGGATGTTTCTTGTTGTACAATGACAAAGCAATAATTAGCTGTCAGTGGTTGATACATCGAGATGTTCCCGAACCGTATCTGCTGACAGGAAGCGGGCACACATACACCACACTTCCAGAACAACACATCTCGCAGACTCTCGCAGACTCTCGCTGCCCGCCTGTGAGTGCAGGAGACTCTCTTCATGTTGGCATTTAACACGAGTTCACCTAATCTCTTTCTTAAACAGTTGTGCGGTTCATTGGTAATCACACTGGTTTCCTAATATACTTAATCCATGTTGAATAACGGAGCCCCATGTTGACCTCGCATCACACAGGAAATAGGGATTCCCGTCAAGAAAAACTCAAGGCCTGGTCTTTTGAAGATTAATGCGCCATAACCGATCATACATACGATATTCTAAAGATGGCTCGTGCTTATGCAGACTCGCACTAAATAAATCATCTCTTAACATAAACATTTCAAGGTGTCAAGTCTTCCCTCCACATCCCTGTGTGTTGAAAATTCCTATTGTAAGAGACTCTGTTCCGATACATATCGTTAACACCAAGTGTGAACTCACTCCTCACTGAACATTAGAACCTTGAAATCCGACTATCTGCTTATCATTGTAAACATACCAGCTTTAAAACGAAAACGTCATTCAAAAAATAACCACGCTCGCCAAATCGTTTTCATTGAGTTGGAAAAAGATATTGCTCCGATAATGAAAGTGTTTGAAAGTTTTGTTTGTTGTTTGTGGGCAGGGAAAGATACTGTTGTACAAGTAAGCTGTTACGCTAATTCTCCAATTATACTTACGATGAGACTTGAAAGTAATCTAAGGGTGGTCGACGTAATTGGCCCGACACCCTATGATGTGTATGTGGGGGTGTCGGACGGCGGTAACGTGACTCTACCCATGTACACGTGTTCGTCACGGTGAGACGTGACAGTGACAAATAAGAGAACGGCAAAGGCGAACATATACCAATACGTGCTCACTCAATCTTTGTAAAGAAATTGTGCTTCCACTTAGGTTTCTTGTTCATTTTCTTTATCCTCTCTCAGGCTAATTTCTTATGTGTCCCACTGAAAAGACAAATATGTAACGAAATGTAATTACTCGTTTATAGCGGCAATTATAAATGTCACTATATATTAAACTTAAATAGATCTACGAATATTTGTCAGATGTTGGTTGGATTTGGTTATTAGTTATTCCATTTTTCTGAAGATTTTTCGTTGACGATTTTCTACGTGTAAACGGTGATACCACTAAATTGCCTACGTCTTGTGTGTGAGTGCCGCTTCATCCCTTTGTTGCTATCACCCACCAATGTTGGGAAAGTGGGGGATACTCTATATGTTCAGTTCCAACCAGAATACTATGACATAAAGGAACATTTCACGCAACGACTGACACATGTTCTTGCAGTACCCTGAAGATGGTAAAAGATGAATTTTACTTAAAACTTATTGCAGAAAGTATTGCAATGTATAGAAAATGTAAATCTCACATCAATTTACAGGGTATTTCCCTGATTTCGTCTCTTTAATAAACTAATTTTTATAAGAAATATCACTGTAAGTATTTTGTATTTGATCTCCTGGGACTGCACACATCAGAGACTTCTTCTCTTTAATATAATACTTTTTATGAGAAATATCAAACTCGCTATGTTGACTCTACTGATGATAAGTATACATTGTACTTACATATTGTAAAAAGAATGTAAAACATCGTTGTTATGGGCTATGAGAGTTCGTTGACAAGTCACGTTTCATCTCGGACACATCAGGTAAATGCAGCTGACATACTACCCCAATGTAGAACAAGCTGCGAACGGGTGTGCAGTGTACACAGTTGAACATACACTGTATTATGATTGACCGTTCACCCCTTCAAAACGTAAAGAGTGTCACTACAACTGTCATTGATTATTGTGTCGTATTGATTACCTGGATGGGAATTTCTCATTTGTTTCTACGTTTCCTCAGACAGGATCATGACAGATGTCACAAGGATAAAATCAATCAAATGACTTAAACATATTCAATCGCAGTCATTAGTTTAGTTAAACATATCTTATTCTCCTAAAATTAACTCAGAACGCCCTCTTCTACAGATTTGCATGATGCCTATTTAAAATTAATGCATCAGATTCTAATGATAGCAAGGGAAGAAGAGAAACAGAGAAACGTATGTATATTCGCATCGCTCACTCAAATCGTTTTGTTCATATATCACATAACAACAGAGAGAGTAGAAATTAACTGATTTACAAAATGGAAAAATACTTTGCTTCACGTGGGCTGGGACGTCGCCATTTTGAATCCTAGTTTAAAACCGTTTGTAAGTATATATCAGGTTTTAATTCACTGTAATCATGTCTTAACATAGTTTGTATGTAATTTGTTGATTTATCTGAGGTCACGTGAGAAATATGGTGGAACTGTAGAAATATCAGCTCTGAGGATGGACTTAACTAGAGAAGGTTTCAATATTCATTTGTTGAATGGATAATGTATACTCATGTACATAAATAAAGGATTCAGAAATTCATTGAAACGAGTTCAGTCACTATATGACTAAGATACTGGCGATGTGACTTTAAATTGTAAACGTATCTCTACGAAATGATACCCAGTGCTAACATAGTACAACTGTAATACTGCTGAAACAAATACATACTCGTGATATAGTCAGAGCTGTACAAACCGACTCTTCTAGCACAGATTTCGTATGGATGTGGAAAGGGTTTTGTCGCTTCTATCGTGAACCAACTTACTGTAGTCACTAGTACTGTTTTTGTATAGACTGGTGGAATTCAACCAATTTTAGCATTTTGTTCCGGAGACAAATGGATCTGGATTAAGCAGTAATGAAACTAGGAGTACAGTGTCAGTGTTGGTGTGTATAGGGATTAAAACACTATAAACCAGTAGTGACACGACAGAGAAGTGAACGCTTCCAATACCGAGTTAATCTGGTCCGACAGGACCCTACTAAAATACATCATCTAACAACAGTAGTTGGGTACATTAGAGACCCGAGTTGGAAACAGATTACTTTAAAGTGGCCATAGATTATCTCGACAACTAACTCGGCTGTGTTTCTTAAACACTCAGACACACTGTGAACAATCACGACTGAATCGTCGTTTTCTTACTTTGTTGATGACACTGGTGCTGAAGTCTAGGACGGAAAAGGATCATTTACTGTACAATTCTACACAACAGTGACAACACCTACATGTACAGTATATGCGAATAGTGAAATTCTGACAGTTCTGACCTGTATACAAAGAAGAACGACAGTCTACATCAGCATGTGAATAATAATTTGCTTAAAAGTGGCATAATCACAATTGGCTTTTATAGTCCGGACTAAAGGGGTTTTGTTATATGAAGTTAAGTCGTGAAGATTATACACAGTATAGAGAACAAGAACAGTATACATACATTTATATGCAACTCTCCTAGCCATTGTATAACGCATATATCGAAAGTGCCAGGAACCTATATTAAAAAATACTTTAAAATGCATTATTAAAGCATTTAGCTTGATATACTTCTCTCCACTATTAGTTTCAGTTCAGGAAAGTTATTGCCTCGACTTCTAATTATTTTTCGACAACGTTTATACGTTAACACAAGTTTGAAACACATGTCAACATTACAGTTAATTAAAATAAAAACTGAAAGCATTGATTAACATAATCCTAAGATCGATTACCATTATTTAACAATGTGGGTCCAGCAACACGTGCTAAACGTCACCCGCATGAGAATCAAACATTCTCCCTCTAACCCTTCATAGCCTGAGCATTCACAGAGGTGCAAGGTATCGCATAACTTAGAATCTCTCCCATACGTTAATTACAGGTAACCCGCGTGGAGATATGCACCATATGCTTAATGTTGTTTATAGCAAATTTAATTGTATCACGTGACACGATATTACACCCTTTGTAGCCAGTTTGTCTGGCACAGTCAATAAATCCGAGGCAAGTATATACAGTGTTGACATATGCGTCACCTCTTTAATTGAAGCCGTTGGATTGTCATAGAATATACTAATAAAGTGTATTGTTTGCTGCAGGGATGGCAGCTCGCAGTGTGTGCTATATTAAATGCGTCGAGTGATACATATTATGCAGTGAAATAAATAGATATATTTCAGGTATTAGTAATTACATATTTTCACAGCCAGAGAAATTTCAATTTTATGTTTGTGTTAAATACGTTTTTCATATATATTACATCCTCTAATTGTATACCTAGATCATTTATTATGATAGCATCTTCAGAAGATAGAATTCATATGTCTAGCTTGTTCGCAACAAAATCTGAGTATTGCACACTGGAAATCTCCCAAAATTATGTCTTAAACTTGGAATACTCCCTTTTGAAAACACACCTGAAACTCAAATGACTCATCTAATAAATAATACAAAAAACGCTGGTTTATAAGAAATATACTTCATTGCTGTTGGTTAAGTGAAATGTTTCATGACCCCCTGACTTCAAGGCTTATATTAAAAACAGAATTAACAATTAAACATTACCGAAAAACCACTGCTTCCAGTCATGGAATAGTACTCCACGGTCAAACTCTAAGAGAAACTAATAACCTTCATTGCAGAATTGCCTTCCTGTAACAAATATTTACTTCTTTTGATTTAACACATCAACACACAATCTCCCTCTAGAATCTAGCCGAAGGTATGGGTCATTGAGAAAGGAAAGAATGAGCGATATCTGCAAACATTATTCACCGGCTAATAAGATGCTCCTGTTTAGATGTAACGGCCGCAAGAATGACAGATTAATGACATATTTACACATTATTATTTACGACCAACCTTATGTAAATATAAGCAACTTTTCTGCTCTTGTACCACAGTGAGTGGTTCTTATGAAAATGAAGTTTCATTAGTTGAACTTGGAAACTGATTCTCAAGCTAAGTTAAAACACTAATAGCCTTATTCGCCTTTGACAATATACTATACTTGGATTGTACATGTATGTTCGATTGTTCATATACACCTGTCGTGTCGCAGAAAAATTGTTGTGCAGTGTTAAGCAACAAACAACCACTTACTTTTTATGCAATTTTAATACCGGCAGAACAAGACATATTTACCTTTTTCGTGAACACCTGGTGTCTTCAATGATTTTCACGGTTCCATTCATATAATATTCACCACTATTCACTATTCCAAAATAATGGAATCTGAATCCGTACATAATCAAGATTGACTGTTAACTGGTATTGACATATATATTTCCATTAAATATGGCCTTCTTACCAAATATAAAGTATACCCATTGTTAACATCATTAAATAAATTTGAATTCATTTGGTATTCGTATCCAAAATTATTCATATGTTCCTTCATGATAATCACTATTTTTATAATATATTACAATAAATTACAGAAAAGAACAACGGATGTTGGGAGACAACTCAATCCTTCATTTGAGTATATATTTGGGTTTACATTGCTTGACATTTTTAAACATTGAGACAATGTCTTCACTCCTTTAAGTCTCCAGTTAACTGCACGTGTGAATTTGCTAAATATGCCAAAGAAATATATTTTCAGTTCAAATAACCCACGTATAAATCATTTAAGAAACTGAAACTGTTCATATGTCTCGGCAGTGACAAGGGCAAGATCGACAAACTAACAATATGCTTTGCAATATTTTATGGAATTGGTTTTATCCTTTTGGTTTATTCCATGTCATGTATGTCTACAATATAGTACAAATGTCAAACACTTCTCATTTTAAGAATATATAGCAACTTGCCAAAGATATTTTACAGCGAAGACCCGGGTTCCATTCACCACATGGGTACAAAATGTAAAGAACATTTCTGGTGTCCCCCGAGAAAGGAATGATGTCGTCTCTTCTTGTCACGATCGTAATTACCAGCCATCGAAATGTAATTCCGAAACTAATCAGATATACTACTGAAATCAAGGTTCTTAAACTTTTAGCTGATGCTATTAACGATATGTTCCGTAGAAGGCAGTTACATTCTTAATATATTTTGCCAATGTACTGTTTTATGTATGTCATGAATACAATCGTCCAGATTGTATATTGTACATTTTTTAGTTAAATTATTTTAGCAGTGTCTCGTAAGCCAATGTTATGGCTGGGTGATATGTGTTGTCTAGACATATGAAATATTGTTTGACCTGTAACATATCACGTGACACTTTAATAAAATATTTCTGTCTGTCTGTCTGTCTATATTCACTTGACGGACTACAGAACTTTATTTGTATTTCATTGACTATTCTTCAATATAGTCAAAATATATGAAGAAGTCTGTCCTTTTTAACTGCTTGTCAAAGGCATGCGCATTTTCAAACATACGCACACATGCATTTAGCAAAAAAGCCTTTAAACGTACAACTTTAGGGACACGTCATAAAATATGAAGCAGGTTGGGGATTTCTTGTGATAAAACATGTGGGCTTCGTAAAAGAATAATGTCTATACCCCATTCACAAGTCAAGTCTGCTCTTTTCCTTCACAAACGTTGCAGTTTTCTAAATCGTAGAAATGTTGGGGAAAAGAAAAGGACCGTGTAATAAACCCATGTATATACTTGTAAATACTTGCATGTACATGTATTGGAGTATATGTATATTTGTACTGATTGTATAATAATATACTTTCTTTAAAATATAAAAGTTTAGATTTCTGTCAAGCAGCTAAATTATTGAATTGATATATGTGTAAGTAAATAGGATGTGATTTTTTTCGTTAGCCTTTGATAGATTTATATTGATTTCGTTAAGCCTTCAAGTTAATAAATAAGGTTTAACACAATCTGTCCTTTCATTTAGCAGGACAAAAATGCTAAACATGTCTCAAGTTCCAGATTTGTATGTCAGCGCATAAATCATTACCGTTCAAATGGTTGTGTCCCTTTTAGAGACTGAATTAACAGGCAAACAAACGGTAATAACCAGCTAGCAAATGGAATAAAATACTTTAGTGCAAAATACATTAATAACCTTTAGTAGTGGAGTGTTACTGTTCACCCTCGGGGCATCAGTTCGGGGTTGAGAGACGTAATCAACCCGAGCGCGACCTTCGCCCCACCCTCCCACATGAACACCCATACACGGCATGGGTTGCTCTACCCCATAAACATATCACAGAAGGGGATCACTGTGGGATAATTATATTGTATCCTGAGGGTGAGAGGGGTAGCTTGCTTTGCCAGTGTCCCTATGCCGTGTCAGAGGGACAGGTCTGGGTCTAATGGCCCCGTGTCTTGTATTACAGAGGTGTCACATCCCAAAAGTCGGGATTTTTCATCCAAAATGTGTCGGTAAAATTGACCCTTTTTTGGAAAGCCGCCTTGGTGACTCCCAGTGAGTGACAATGGACAATGCGGAGCGGCTCGACTTGCCGATAATGTTTTTCCGAAATCTCCTAGATTAATTCGGCACCGTGGCTTCTGACTTGTGCCATGAATTAAGTTGCAGATCTATATATCTATATATCAGGTAATAAGAGACGGTGTACAGGGCTGCCTTGTCACAGCCCAGTCTATCATCGACCTCGTTACAGTGTTGGACAGAGCAGGTAGTCTACTATAGCTAATGGCAGCCAATCTTGTTACATCTCAGATGAAATGAAATGATGAAATGAAACAGCACGATGTAAACATAATGAATCCTGTAAATTTATTCGTATCAAACAATCTTATCATAGTTCTGTGTCCAAGGTTGCACGTTGATTTTCATTATTTCTAACATGTAAACTAGCAGGACTTTGGACGTTGATGTCAAGAAGTTATACAGTAACTTCTTTGAGTGGCATTTAGATGTTCCCCCCGTTGTTCAAGTTATACAGTATCTCCAAGTTTCCAATCCAAGTCACACAAGCCAAGATCACCATGTAATCAAGAGGCGTCTGACTTCTGGCCATAGATTAAATTATAGCTGGGTATTAAGCAAGTAACGTATTAGATTGAATGTAAAGTCCCTGTATATATATTGTACACCCGAAGAGCCGTTGAACGGCGAAATATCTTTTGCAGATATAAAGGAGATTTGGCAAGAAGAAATATCTGGACTCATATGTTATATATCTATATATATATGGAAATAATCGAACGTTGAGGAACACTTTGGTTTCTCATCTCAGGCCTAGACCCGGATAGTGTCATGGACATAAACTGCTAATCGAGTAGGAGCCTGTTTGGCAAGGTCATTCTGTTGCTAAACTATTACAAACTGGAACAATATGAAACACACATTTTTGGACTTGCGTAACTATGAGAAACCACTTACATGTATATTATGAAAGAGAGTTTTAGGATGTCAACTTCTTTATCATGAGAAGCATATCCTTACTCCTTCATCCGATGAAGGAGTAAGGATATACTCCGAAACGTTGTGTTCCTCATAATAAAGAACTTCACATCCATGAAACTCTTTTCCTCATGTGTATCACTTCTAAATGCCACTTAAACATCTGATACATGTATATTTATCTCAACTCACGTTAACTCAGAACGTTATATCAATAGTCAATACAACGTTCTTTCCAGGGTACATTGTCGACAGAACCGTGAATTCAACGCAACGTCATGGTCAGGACACATTGACGGTAAACCCGTGAATAGAATACAATGTCATGGCCAGGATACATTGACGGTAAACCCGTAAATTGAGCACAACTTAATTGCCAGGATACATTGACGGTAAACCCATGAATTTGAACGCAACGTAATGGCCAGGATACATTGACGGTAAACCCATGAATTGAATACAACGTCATGGCCAGGATACACTGACGGTAAACCCGTGAATTGAGCACAACGTCATGGTCAGGATACATTGACGGTAAACCCGTGAATTGAATACAACGTTATAGTCAGGATACATTGACGGTAAACCCGCAAATGAATACAACGTTATGGTCAGGATACATTGACGGTAAACCCATGAATTTGAATACAACGTCATGGCCAGGATACATTGACGGTAAACCCGTAAATTGAGCACAACGTCATGGCCAGGATACATTGACGGAAAACCCGTAAATTGAATACAACTTTATGACCAGGATACATTGACGATAAACCCGCAAATTGAACGCAACGTCATGGTCAGGATACATTGACGGTAAAACCCGTAAATTGAGCACAACGTCATGGCCAGGATACATTGACGGTAAAACCCGTGAATTGAGCACAACGTCATGGCCAGGATACATTGACGGTAAACCCGTGAATTGAGCACAACGTCATGGCCAGGATACATTGACGGTAAACCCGCAAATTGAACGCAACGTCATGGCCAGGATACATTGACGATAAACCCGCAAATTGAACGCAACGTCATGGTCAGGATACATTGACGGTAAAACCCGTGAATTGAGCACAACGTCATGGCCAGGATACATTGACGGTAAAACCCGTAAATTGAGCACAACGTCATGGTCAGGATACATTGACGGTAAACCCGTGAATTGAGCACAACGTCATGGCCAGGATACATTGACGGTAAAACCCGTAAATTGAGCACAACGTCATGGCCAGGATACATTGACGGTAAACCCGTGAATTCTTTTACAGTTGAATCTATGATTGTGTCATATTATCCACAATCTGATTTTAGGCTTTCCTTTGATGTTGGAAAGGGTTTTGTCACGTATATTTTGATAGGTCACTCAGAATGGCCTATGGTAATTTACTAGTTTTTATTCAGGTGTGGATGTACAGCGACACCCTGACAATCCGGACAACCGGCACACAATACATGCATATGAATGAAGAGCGTCAAAAGTTCTAGGGCATCAAAGGCAATTTCGACATTTTCGACAATATTGTGGCCTATAGATACACTGTATTTTATACATTGGGGACATATGCACTCAGATTAGCTTCCTACTGATGCAATAAAAGAATTAATATCCCTTACGACTTGCCTGAAATCGATAATTGAAACTTCGAGGCGAACAGCTTCCAAACAGATAACACTTGCCATATAGAGAATGTCAACGATTGCTCCGTACATCGAAAACTGTCGCATGCGGTGTTTTGCCGAACTGGTTTCAATCACAAGTTCTGCGTAGGATATTCGTAAAGAGCGCTCCAAGGGACATAACTCTATGGGGTTCGCTTGAAATAATGTTCGGCCGGTAGAGGGCGCAAGAGTCGATTTGATGCTACGTTGCATTAATTCATAGTATATACGTATTTTTTATTTAAAAAATGATTTATTTAATTATTTTTTTATTTAATTTTTATTTAATTTATTTTTTTATTGTTTTTGTTGTTGCTGCTGTTGGGTTTTTTGGGTTGTTGTTTTTTGTTGTTGTTTTTTTTTGGGGGGGATATATTATATATTATATGGTAGCTTCCCAGAGGGCTGATAGTTAGTATTATTGAGAGACATGC